CCTTGGGGGGGTGGGGGGGGGAACCAAATGTGAAACCTTCAGTCAAAACAAATGTCATGTATATCACAGCAAATCCTGAAAACTAGTAACAGTGGGGGAGGGAGGGGGAAAGAGATCAGAAGTTATGCAAAAATGCATAGATGGAAAAGTTAGCTTGAGGGCTAATAAAAGTTTTCTGACTTCTGTTGTGTGTGATATCTACTAGCATAGGGTTAAGAGAGAAGAAGGGGCAGCATATGCATCTCATAGCAGTTGGGGCTGTGCTGTTAATGGACCTCTCTGGTTTTCTGCTTTTAGAACTCCAAAGGTGAGGTGGGGAAGCAAATTAATTAGCATAATGACATATACTATATTTAAAATAGTTGCTTAAACATGCTTTTTTTAAAGAAAGGGATAGTAGCTACTGAAATTACTCATAAATCTTGTAGTGATGGTATGTGTTCTGGAAATAAATCTGCTAGGGAAAGAGGTCTTCTATTTCCAGTGTACTTTAGTCAATACAACTATTTGTGCTGTTTTCCCTGCACTTTTTCGTAACAGGTTTTTGCATAAAGACATTAAAAAAAAAAAAAAAAAAAAAAAAAAAGGAGAGAGAGAGGAAAGATAACATATACAGTCCACATAAACTCTTGCCCAAGACAATAGACTCTGAGTTTGTAAACACATGCTTACGTGCTTGTGAAATTATTAAGACAGAGTTTTTTGGGTTGAGAAGAAGTCTGTGGTCAAGTAAAAACAATCACAGTAGTAACAAGAGAAAACAGAAAAATATTGTCAGCATAATTATTTTGGAATTCTCACTTCTCTGCCCAGTGCTGCTTCTATGTAACACCCATTATCACAGGATAGGTATGCATGGTTCAACATAACTCAAATACACAAGTGTTGTAAGTCTGGAAAACATTTAATATTTTTATTTAGTATACTATTCAAATGAATGCAACCACACACAGTGAATTTTGCAATCCAGAATCACTAAAAAATGGATATCAATAAAATCACTTCCTGGCATTATCAAAATGGCTGTTCCTAAAGGGATCACAGATGTGATTATATACTTAACTTAGTTCCATTACCCTAGAAAGGCACATAAAATATGTTGCATTTTCAGTGACTTAGCATTGTTCCTTTCATTAATTAATCTTGTAAGCAGCATCATAAAACCGGTGATGAAGATAGCATGTGTAAATAAATCTGAGAGGAGCTGGCACTTTGGACAGCTTTTATATGTTAGTGTTCATTTAAGTTGTTAAACCTGCTGGTTCTTCATTGCCATTCCATATTCTCCCCTCTTATCACCTTGGAGCAAAATTCCCGATTCCTGACCGCCCATGGGAAGGAGGCGGTTGATGTCATTCCTGTGGCCAGATGGTCTGACCGCAAACTCCACTACCTCAGCCTTAGCAGTCTTGGAGGAAAAGCCCAGTCCCAAGAAGCCTCAGGGCTGTCCCTGTGCGGCCAGTGAGGACACACAGTGCTCTAGACTTTCTCACATTAGAGACCTGAGGCTTCACAGAATGCATTTGAGTTTTAGTGAAACGGTGGCTTCTCCTCTATTGCTGATATATTAGCATAAAGGAATTGAGTAACTCCAGTGACATGCATGCCAAATGCAAGGCCAGAACACCATGATGCCCCCTAACACTCATACAAGTTCGTATCGCTAAGCTGAATTTTGAGTACATCTCCTGTTTTGGGCTGTCATGGCATCACAGGCTGAGGTTCTGGCTTAGGCAGGTTTTGTTTTGCCATTGTCCTTAATGTTCCTTGTGTATGTAGGGCAAGAAACAAAAGGAAGCATGGGAACTTCTTTTAATTGAATTAGAAACATTGGTGGAAAAAGAGAAGTAGAAGCAGACCGCAGAAGAGCAGTGGGGAAACTTACTATTCTTGTCCATGCCATTTGATCTTGTTTTCCTTATCTATACTGAAGTACACCTTTAGCTTGTGTACTTCATCTCTCTTTCACTGTCATCAGCTTTGCTCTGTTGCTGTTAGTTTGCAGAGAGTTAAGGTCTGACTCACTTTTTTTCCTCATCTCTGAATTTAGAAAAGGATTTTCCTCATTTAAACTTCACTTAAGAGTATTGGTATGAAGATGCTTTGGAAACAGTGGCTTCTGACAAACCTTGTTTAGCCTACTGCAGAATTAATTATGTTTATAAAGGAACTTTGCAAATTTTAATTATGGTGTTTCTATAAAATTGTTGAAATAAAGTGCTAATTGTGTGCATTTATGTACTTTTCATAAAGGATTCTTATGGCCTAACTACAAAATTTAACATTTGTTTAGAGTGTATGTATGTATATATATATATGCACCATAAAATTTCTGCAATCCAAATCTATATTTGATGAATGTACAGTATGTGTTTTCTAGGGTGTTCACATCGATGGCGGTGTGTGACAGAAGCACAGATTCACTTAAGTTGTAAATGAAATCCATCCTTAAAAATATAGGTGAAAAAGTAGTGTTAGATTTAATTCCCATTGCATGACTCACTTCATTTTCACTTGTCTCTTTACCCTTGATTGAACAAACTGATATTTTAAATGCATTACAGATTTAATCAGAGGCATCAAATACAATACACGATGTTAAAATTACATCCAGGAAAACATCTGGGACTATAGAATGGAAATCATTCCTGCAGAAAAATTAGTTTCTATACTTTACTAGACTAATTGCATAAACAAAGTAATATTGAAGTTCCTCTGAAGTTTATATAACAGGTCAACTCCTGACATTTCCCAGATTGCAAAACAATGCATTGATCTTGAATAGACTTGTGAGCTTGAATAAGTTCAGGGCTGACTCCACCGGACTTTTTCCTCTGAAGTTTGTTGAGAGTGTTCAGATGAGATCAGAACAACTACTTTCATGTGCAAAATCATCCGGTGTTAGGTTTCGGGGCTAAAGCTTTAGCCTTGTGAATTTTATTTTTGTGGATAGATCTATTATTTAAAAAAAAAAAACAAACAAACTATAGCTTAGAAAGGAACCATCTCTTGAAATGAGTTTGATAATATTATTTCTTTAACAAAGAATAATATAATACCCTGATGTATCTGAAGCAGTGTTATCTTCCTATAAAATATATAAATGGCATAAGGTTTATAAAATATATATATTTTTTTTTTTCTTGAAACCAAACTCCAAGACATTGTTTTCTTTTCAAGTCTTCTCCATATGGAAGATACACCACAGATGATGATGGTGCAAAAAACATCAGGATCAGTTCAAAATTCTGTTGAGTTGACTAGGTAATTTCAAATATTCAAAAATTGCCTTTTTCACAATCTTTTTCTATATCATAGTTATTTTCTATTTGTTTTTCAAATACTTAATAAATAGATACTGGATAAATTTCAATCAATCAGTGGCATAATGAATATAATCTAATTTTCTTTCTTACTATGCTTGGAATTTGATCAGTTACATTTATATGCGAGAACTGAAACAATGTGTAAACAGAAAGCATCAGAAATGTGATTCTGTGAAATCTGGTATTTCCCACTAAACCATGTCCCTCAGTACAACAGCGAAACATTTATTGAACACCTCCAGGGATGGTGACTCCACCACTTCCCTGGGCAGCTTATTCTGGTACCTGACTACAGTCTTGTAGAATTGTTTCCTAACATTCAATCTGAATCTTTCCTGGTGCAACTTGAGGTCATTTCCTCTAGTCCTATTACACTGGAGAAGTGGCCAATGCTCACCTCATCACAACCTCCATTCAAGTAGCTATACAGAGTAATGAAGTCACCCCTGAACCTCCTTCTCCAGACTGAATATTATCCTAGCTCCCTCAGTCACTATTTATAAGGCCTGTGTTCCAGACCCCTCACCAGCTCTGTTGCCCTTTGAACATGCTCTGGGGCCTCAATGTCCTTCTTGCAGAGAGGGGCCCAAAAGAAGGGCAGTGCTAATTACAGAGGGATGATCTGTTCCCTGCTACTGCTGGCAGCACTATTTCTGTTACAAACTAGGATACCATTGGCCTTCTTGGCCACCTGGGCTCACAGCTGGTTTGTGTTCAGCTGAACATTGAGCAATATCCCCCATTTCCTTTACACAGTCTTCCAGCCACTCTGCCCCAAGCCTGTAGCCTTGCCTGGGGTTGTTGTGGCTGAAGTGCAGAACCCAGCACTTTTGGTCTTGTCAAACTTCATCATTAGCCTCAGCACAGCTATTCAGCCTGTCCAGATCCCTCTGTAGGGCCTTTCTACTCTCAGGCAGATCAACACTTTCTGCCAACTTGGTTTAATCTGCAAACTTGCTGAGGGTATACTCAATGCCCTCATCCAGGTCATCAATAAAGATATTGAATAGGGCCAGCCCCAGTACCAACCCCTGGGGAACACTACTCATGACTGGTCATCAGCAGGATTTAACTCCATTCACTACCACTCTCTGGGCCCAGCTATCCAGCCAATTCTTCACCCAGCAAAGAGTGTACCTGTCCAAGACATGGGCTGCAGCCTTTCCAGGAGAATACGCAGAAGACAGTGTTGAAGCCTTTGCTGTAGTCTAGGCATCACCTTTTACACAGCATTCTCTGAGACGTCTTGCTCTGTCTTGAGCTGGAAGATATATTTTGAAACAGATTAGTCCTTCATTTAATTTGATATAGCCATATTCAAACCTACTGCATTCAGCTCTGATCGAACAGAGAGTAGCATCTTAGAAGTTACTTGTTACTTTAGACCAATTTGTTTTGTGCTGAAGAACAAACAGAAAAATCCAAGGTTTTGTCTTCCACCAGGTGTGGCATACTCTAGCCCTTTTTTTCTTTTTTCTTAAACTCAGACATGAATGAAAGTCTTCTGTGAGTATTTCAGTGTCCAAAAGCTGAAAAGCATTTGAAATCCAGAGGTTTGAAAAACTTATAAACAAATTCCTTCTGCTGTTGCTCTTATCTGCCACAAAGACCAAGTGCTGATATTTTGCCTTTCTTCCCTTTCTGAAAACTGCATTCTTCATGTATAAGGCTGGAAGAAAATGAGCCTGCATGAATAAATCGAGCAGATGTGTCACTTTCTATTGTGCAGATAGAATAAGTAGCTGAGTTTTATGCAAGTACTATCGAATTACGAACTGCACAATGCCAAAATACTCTTGCAGAAGCTGGCGGGCTCCCTTGGTAAGCTCAGCAGCTGTAAACCTGACTTTCTTTATGTGCTGACTACATGCTGAACAGTTTGAGCTCTGTCTTTAGGTTATGAATGTCTTTTGACTTCTGAGGTTTTTATTTAGGTTGAGAGAAGCTGTTGTTTTCACTGTAAGAAGAGAGTATCATCAGATTTTAATTGTTATTATTTTTGTATCAGTTTGCATTAATTCTTCTGTTTTGTGGAGGATTTTTTTGTAGTGGAGGTTTGCTTTTAAAATAAGAATTCAGAAACCATCTACATGTCTAGTTCAGAGAGAGATGAACAATGAAAACTGGATTCATTTGTGTCTGGTTAAGGACCTGGTTAAAATTCTGGCTTTCTCTAGTAGTAGAGAATGTATTCTATTACTCATTTTCTTGGATTAGATATAACAAATCTGTCAAAGCAAAAATACAAGTTATTTCCTTCTTGCATTTGTAACAGAGCCTGTTCTGAAGGTTATACTGAATTTGTGCCTTGTAAAACTTTCTTGATGGAATTACAGCATTTAAGGCAATAGAAAAGCCTAAAGTCTGATCTGTTTCTGGAAATGTAAGTACCTTATTGCATTTTCTTTTTGTGGTAGTTTAGGTGTAACAATTTTAGGTTACAGGGGAAAAAAAAATGTGCATTGGCTAATTCTGTTCTGTCTTTCCAATAGCCTGCAGTTAAACACAGTCATTTCCTTTTATTCAAGCCTAATTTCTCGCTCTAAAATTTGTATGAAACATTACACAGCTGCTTTTGTAAGATCCAGAGGTGGATATATTCACAACACAGGTGAAGCAATTCCTGTGAACACTCTGTGCTCCAGAAGTGTTTTTGTGATGAAACTGAACATCCTTTGGGGGAAGATGCAAACATCCTTCAGTCAGTTGTGCCTTCCCTGTCTAAAAAATGAGCTTCAAAACAAGCAGAAAGGCTCATCTTAAAATACCGGTAATTACTTTAAGAATTTTATTACCAAAACTATACAAGTTAAGAGCTTTACTGCTGTATGCTGTGCACTACTAAAATGGGAGGAGCTGACTGTGGACCTCGTTAAAAGTATCAGTGTAGACTCCGATATTTTGGAGTCATCTATAATAAATGTAAGTAGGTTGTGTACAATTGGGAATATGCATTCTCTGCAAGTCTGTGCCTGTTATTATTGTGTGACCTAGCTTTAGCTCTGCATAGTCAGTTAAAAGAACAGCTAAGTCAAGTGAAAGAGGCTATATGTATGCATGTAGAAATTGCCCATTCCTTCATTGTAGCTTTCAAAATAGTAATGGTGACTGAGGTTTTAAAAAAACACTTTATTAATCCTGAAAATGAGCCTTCATAAAGCAATTCCCTGACTGTATGCTCCTGTCTACAGTTTTAATTCAGCATCTTTGCTGTATATATTAGAAAACTATTTTTAACAATGTTCCTATATTGACAAGATCCCTGCTTCATTTGGTGTACAAGATGGATAGTGCTTGTTTAGTAATCCTGTGTTAACCACCACTAGTAAAACATTGTCTGAAGAGAGAATTTATTTTTATTCTTGCTTTTTGGTAGTGCCCAGCAATGACTGTTTCAGTGATGCTTAGGCTTTCTTTTATTTTCACCCCAGGCCTGTGATGTAAGGGGTCGATATTATTACCTTTTTATTTAACAAAAAAATGAAGTCCAGTCAGAATCAATTTGAAACTACACAATATTTTTTAATGCCTAATATGGGAAGCCAATAGTTTCCCAACATAAGTTACAACCAGGATTTTTGTGGAATTGCAAGTTCAGCATTTGTAAAATCAAGGCACATTATTAATAGCTACTGCTAAAATCATATATTTTTAATGTTTACTCAGTCTTTCACAGAGGCAGAATCAAAATTCAGTTATCTGGTCAGCTTTCATCTGTTGCAAGATTTTGCTTTTCCTTCTCTCTCTATAACTCTTAATTTTAATACCAAACCAAGAAACAATGCTCCAAATTTATGAATATTTTCATAAGCTCCAGGGATTCTTATTTTCAAATCCAAGCTGACACATCTCCCCTCCACCTTTTCTTCTAGCACCCAACAACTGCATTTTTTGCCCATCCAAAACTCAGCAATATTTCATTTCATTAAGCAGAGACTGTTTCCACAGCACAAACAGTTCGGTGTTTCGGAAGCAAGTTATATTCTGCTCATTCCGTGGCACTCTGTCTGACAAATAAAGCAAAACTGAGGGATTATTGAAACACCAGGAATTCTTTCTCCTTCATGGTCTCCCCAGCTAGTCCCACTGTCTTTTCTCTCCTTTGTCTGTCCTTGTCCAATCCTCTAGTTATCCGCATCAAACTCTCTTCCCTGTGTTGCATTTGGTAAGATTGCTTGCTGAGCTGGAAGGTGGGGGAACAAAGAGCATAGAGGACATGCAGATGCCTGCCCTTCGCTAACTGGTAATACTGGTCACATGTTCAATACTGACATCTCTGGGGTATTTTCACTACCTAATGGAAGAAAATTCCACTGAATACCACGTGTGCAATGTGGTTTTTCAAGTGATTGTAACATGTTTGAGTTGGACCATGGTTCAAGGGGATGAAATGTTGTGCCTTCTGGCATCGGACCACCAAGTTAAGTTCAATTATTCAAAATTTGATTAATGCTTTGAAGTATTTAAATGATCTGAGGAATGAGAACTTAATTCTTTTAACAGAACAGGAGGAGATAGGGCTCAAGTAACAACAGATATTTCCCTGACTTCGTGCTTAGGATTGACCAAACCATTTTGGCTGAAAATTTCCACATGAAATCAGCTTAAGGCATACACTCAACATGGGTAATATAAGTACCAGAGGCTTCGCTGCATTACAGCTTTCTTGGACTTCAAACAAACTCATATAAATTGAAAGTATTATGCAATCTTATTAGCAGACTGTCACCAGCCTGTTCACAACAAACCAGGTAGCATAACTGAAATTCCTAGATATGCTCTGATTGAGTTTCCTGTGATTTACTGCTGGCCTCCTTGTATTTCATTAAAAGAAGGTAGAAAGAAGGCCAGGCTTTCTTTTTTTAAACTTAATCTGATTTTCTGTGATTTTTTTCCCCAAAACACAATGAATCACGTATTGCAAAAACAATTTTTTTGTTGTACTTGGTTTCTTCTTCCACCTCTATACACCGTCCCTTTCTCTTAAATGATGATCTCTATAAACTTGACATTAGCAAATACAAAAGAATCAGAGACAGATTTCTCTTGAAACTACTTCGTTTTGATTGTCTGGGAAAATGGCCCTGGTGACTGCTGCAAATAATTCAGTAAAATAATCTACAGATTTAATAATCTGCAACCATCCGTGTCTACTGCTTCTGTCAACAGGTATAGATAGAATTCCCAAATAAAGCATCCGTTAAATAAGATTTGTCTTCTAAAACAAATTTATGACTTAAACAAAATAGGCCACAGCCACAGATAATGAAAACAAAGTGAAAAACTGAAGTCATGGCCTAGCCAGCAGTAATAGGAACTGTTTTCATCTTGATATTACCAGCATATTGTTCCAAACGGCACTGATTTGATCTCTTGGATATGTATGTAGCATGGTACTCAAAAAGTATTCACTTTATATCAGCTGTGTACTTGTCCTACAGATTAGTAAATATATAGTTTACCTGAACTAAAACAATAAAATGAAAATTTGGTGCAAATTCTCCTTCAGACAAACTTAATTAAACAGCATAGAATTCTTCATATTAAAATTTGGGGTATCCAGCCTGGGTTAAACACTCACAAAGATAGGTTTTCCTCCAGCAAAGGCAAATTATGAAGCAAATCCCATAGCATATGGAGATAAAAAAGGCTGCCATGACTCCCATTCTACTCTGAAGCTATCAGAAAGTATAGCTTCAATTCTGAACATAGTAGGCTGTTGATCTGTCTCAGCTGCTGCATTTTGTTTTCTTGTTTTCTAATGTTCCCACGAGATATCACAGTATTTCTTTTTTCTTCATTCTCTGTTTATTATAGATACTATGGAATTTTCCTTGAACACACCTGCTGTAAGAAAAGCATTCAAGGCAACTTTGTGAAACTTGGATGTAGCCATTTTTCAATTAATTACTTATGTTAATAGACACTGAGCTTTCTAAATTCATTTTCGGGAACCTGTCCTGTTTTTTCATGAAGCCATCTCTGAAAATTAAGAGATATAAACCAAGTTTCAAGCCCTGTCACTGATCTGATGTGAGACTTTGAGCCAAGCATCTTTCATCTCAGTTCCCTCACTTGTAAATTGTGGATAACAGCTTTTTTTATACAGCTGTATTAAAGCACCTGGAAGTCTAGTTGCAAAGCAATATATTTGTGATAAAATGTTCCTTACATCCCTTAAAGAAGCACATGTTCCAAAGATTAATGGCTTATAAACATTTCTGAAATCTCTGCAAGGTACTGTTTGGAATACTGAGAATCTATTATTAATAGATACTTATTCTGGGCTTTTTTAATACAAGCCATATTTTGCTGTGAGCTTTGCTGATGTCTCCCATGTGTTAGAAGACAGTTGGGACATATCTGCTTTTCACAGTTATGTCCTGAAGTCCCTTTCTTATGAAAAACTACTGTCAAAAAAAGAATTATGTTTACAACACACATTGATAACACTTTGTAAAATCACTTCCTCCTAGGTCATGAATGATTTCAGGGATTCATTTAAATACAAGATGTATAATTCCATCTCCAGTGTTGCAACTGTCATCCAAAATCTGAGAGGAAAACTCTCTAACTCCAATGCAGTGTTAGAAAGCAGCATTTCTTTATTCCTCACAATACGTACCAGGTGACTTGACAAAACAAGCGAGCTTTCTGAGGTCAGGTTCTACATTTAAACAGTTAAAACATACATATGCAGTACGCTGGCATACATATTCGTGCTTATCCAATAACTCATTAATATATGCTAATATCCCTCTGTGCATGTGCTGTTTCATCTAGGGTGGTGGTATGATCACTTACTATATTCCCATTTTCCCATCATCAACTTCATCATAGAGACTTTTGGCTGACCTCTAGGTGTTTTTCTCCAATTTGGCAAACTTCCATTGCTTGTTAGGCCATAATGAGCAATTTCCAAAACAATATATGTGAAATCTGAGGAAAACGTCCTTGCACCTGGTGGATGCGAAAGATAAAAGTAGTCTATTATGACTCCAGTGCTACTTCTGAAGCAGAATCTTTGAGGAAAACAATGCTGTTCACACACCAAACAAGGTTGAAATGGAAAGTTTTAGAACTAGCACTCTATTCTTTTTGCTAAACCAATATATTGGTCCTTAAACTAATATACTGATCCCTACTGCTAAACAAACCAGACTAAATCACAACTCCTCCCATAATAATTGACTCATTATTCTTTTTAAGCTTCTTGGTCTACTTCTAAGGTGCCAACCACCCACTACTTCCAAGAAAAGCAGGTGGGGCTGTGCATGCTTGCTACCCCTCTGAGCTTAGCATAAAAGTTTGCCACGGATTAATTAGAAATAGCCATGGATTAATTAGAAATTGCAATAGCAAATATGCTGAGTTGATCTATGT